GAGAGAGAGAGAGAGAGAGAGAGAGAGAGAGAGAGAGGAAAAAGACGGATCCCTCACCCACAAACACACAATCACACAATCACATCAAAATCAAAATCATTATCAGTTGGCAGTGCCAAAATTCTTTTTAGTTTTTAACATTTTTGTTTATAGGATGGATGGAACAGAGCAGACTCCAAATTTGTACTTGAAATGCAAAAAACTGATCAAAGATGGATCAAGATTCAAGATGAGGATCAGCCAATCCCAATGGAATCTGGAAAAGGTGAGGAAACGGAGAGGACATTTCCATAGTCAAATGTTTGTTTTGTAGTTTCATGCTTTTCCACATTTCTGCCTATTTTGGTTGGTTAGGAAAATGTACTTTTTGCACTTTAAATGTATGTAAGCATGTGTATTTGTATTTAGAAGAATCTAGAAGTAAACAGTCTGGAACTGTGAAAACCCCATTTGTGTACTCTTGTTTCAGTGCAGCTAGAGTTAAGTTTGGTTAGGAGTGCTAACATCAAGTAGCCCATTTCTTAAAAAATAATAATAAAAACTATCGATGCTAAATACGATTTTAATTTCTTTTCAAGCACTCTTATACCTTATTTTTTTTAATAACAAAGATGGCAGATTGATGCTACGTACGCGATTTTTATTTTTAATGTCTACGATATATGGCATTCATGTAAGGAAAAAAAATATGTCAAGAGTTAACTTGACGGTAAAACTAACAGAGGATCCAATGATGTAAGAAATCATAATAAGAGTTGTTTTTGATAATTTTTAAGAGATGGAGACCATGGTTGTAAATTGTAATTACCTCCTTAAATTGTAATTATTCTGTTTAAATTTTGACGTGGAATTCACTGTAGGAAAAGGACCTCTAACAGATTTTGATTCGATGGAGATTCCAAAATGTACACTATTCTTAGAGTTGAACTTCCAAGAGCGGTTGATGAAAAAACAAAAAGAAAAAAAAACGCGTGTCGAGTCAGCAACACTTGTTTAAGAAGTTCAGGACTTAATTCCTTGGAGAGATTGGGTGATCAAACAGCAGTGACAGTGTGACTGAGTTTGTCTATAAAATACAACTTCACTCGCTCTTGTTCACAGAGCAAGACTCTCCATATCATGATATGGAGTGGTTCTTCTTCAGCCGAAGGGATTATAAGTACATTAACAGCAATCGCTCCAACAGGGCCACACCGCATGGCTCCTGGAAAATCACTGGCAAGGAACGTATGATCAGGGCTCGAGGGTCCAACGCTGTCATTGGGAGGAAGAGGACCATGACCTTCTATGAACGTTGTGTGCCGAAATCGAAGAAGACCAACTGGGTCATGCACGAATATAGTCTCTTTGAAAGTGAAGCCAGTCCTGATCCTCAGCTGGCCGAGGTCATTCTCTTTCATCCATGCTTGATTATTTACCAAGTTTGTTACTTGGTGCTGTGTTAGGATTATGCAGCATCAAGTTTTGTCTATTGGATTAGTGTTTCATGTTTATCATAGTGGTGGAGTTTTAAATGCACAAAAAGGTTGTGTAATGATTTTGATGTGTGTTCTCTTATAATAGAATTGAAATTGATGGTAGTTGATAGCTCAATGTGGGAAGGTACTAATGATTTTGATATAGGGTCTCCAACTTATGCAGAGGGATTTTGTTGTCTGTCGATTGAAAAAAAACCCTGATAAGAAGGATACTTTAGTCTTTGCTGAAGGTGAACCTAGCAGCTACAATTTGTGTAATTGTGAAGATCAAGCTGCAGCTGATGTGACTCCAGAGGTGAGAATGAGCGTGCTCTTTTTCTTTTGAACATTTTTCTTATGAAACACAAGAATTTTGCGGATCTTAATGCTTCACTCTTTTGTGCACTTTAGTCACAGGATCACAGCCCCTCCACACTGCAATCACCAGCATGGATAGAGCTGGGAGATGTTCTGCAAGCTAATGGCCTTAATGAAGATTGTAATGATATGCAATCACCATTTGGAGATAATGACTACTCAGTTACCGATAAGAATGATATTTCAACCTGTGATGAAGGTGAACCCCATGGCTTCACCGTTACTAATATCGAAAATGAAGTCGCATATGATATGTCTCAAGAGGTGAGTATAAACATGCTTTTTGATGTTTTGATAGGAACTCAATATAAGGCAAAATATTATCTCGAAACTTGATCTACATGTTCTTAATCCAGCTATATGCGCAGCAAGAAAAAAACAGCTATATGCTCACGCCTCAGTCACCAACATTCAGGAATCTAGAAGATTTTATGTATATTGATGCCTCTGATTTTGGAAATCAAACTGCAAATAATATGGTTCTTGAGGTGAGCCCAAACATATATACTTCTTGGCATTTATGATACTAACTTCTTAGTATGGAGTACAAGAAGTATACATTAACTTACGCTTGCTTGTCTGTGATTCTTAATCCAGCAGCCATGTATTCAGCAGGCACAGGATTACCACTCTTTCACACTGCCGTCACCAATATACAGCGAACTGGGAAGCGTCGTCCCTCATGTTGATGTCTATAATAATGAATGGCAATCTACATATGCTAATTTTGAAAATCAAACTACAAATGAAAGGATTTCGGAGGTAGAATGAGCATACTCTTTTGAACATTTTGTTATATAAACTTCTTATTATGGATTTATCCAAACTTAACCGCTTACTTGTTTATAATTCTTAATATAGGAATGTCCTCAGCCAAAAGAGAATCTGAGATCAATCTTATCTGCATCTCAGCTAGCGGATTACACATCGCAGCTGCTAATGAACACGTAAGTGGGAAATGTTTTGCATGACTATAACTACATTGAATGCATTGAGTTTTAATCCCAGAAAGTTCTTGAATAAAGTTATTGTTAACTAGAATTATTACTTCCATGAAAACAGAGAAGAATGTCAAATGAGGCCTTGTGAAATAGGCATAGAAGGGGCAGCTGGGATGAATTGGGAGGACTCATTCTTTCATTTTCCCTGAAGCTGTAGATCGAAGTCCTCTAGCCTTAGAGCAATGCTTTTGTTCTGCAGTTGCTATTCTGGAATTGGCGCATTGTAAGAGCTGCTCTACATGACTGCTGGAATCTCAGTCTATGCATATGTATTAGTATTAAAACAAATGTTGTATCCATTTTTCTTTCCAACACTGTCCTTGTGAGTATTGTATTGTGTATGCCACAATGTTCCTTATATTTGTACCCACAATGTTCTCTTCTTATTTTGGCAATCCTTAACTTCAATCCCAAATGGTGCATGAAAATCTTCACTCATTTTCCTTTGGGTTTTAACAAGAAAACTTCAAATATATAACCTTTGGATTACAAGACAATGATAGATAAGACAATAAGATGATCTAGGTTCCTTCTCTTCCTATTGTACTGTTCTTTTTTCTTTTTTTGGTTGGAAACTAAACCCATCAGTGCGTAATGTGCATTACTTCAAACAAGGATCATATATAAGCACAGAACAAGGGCCCAAACCACAAAAAGAAATGGAAGGGTGCCCATCCGTAGAATTCTATAGTGAGGGCCATATCTAAGGTCCTTAGATGAGGCCTTATCTTTTAATCGTTGGATCAAATTGGTTTATTTGATATAACAATTAAGAGATAGACAATTTGATCCAATAGTTAAGGGATTGGGCCTCATCTAAAGGCCTTAGATAAGGCCCTTACTATAGAATGACTCGTGCCCATCCAACAACAATAAGAATTCTATAGTGAGGGCCTTATATATGGCCCTTAGGTGAGACTCTATATCTTAACTGTTGGATCAAATTGATTAGCCATTTGATCAAATTAGTTAGCCTGATCGAACGGTTAAGAGATATGACCTCACATAAGAACCATATATAAGGCCCTCACTAGAATCCCAGCCACAAAGCAAAAGAAACATAAGCCAAATAAGCGTTATATGTGGGCTCTAATTGGGTCCTTGGTATCCTATTGTCCTGGATAAAAGGCCCACAACCCATCTCAAAATCTTGGCTTGGTAGTTGGTGAATCATTCTATAGTGAGGGCCTTATATATGGCTCTTAAGTGAGGTTTTATCTCTTAACCGTTGGATTAGGCTAACTAATTTGATCCAACAGTTAAGAGATATAGCCTCACTTAAGGGCCATATATAAGTTTCTCACTGTAGAATTCTTGGAGAGCTGGTACCTACATAAACATATATAAGATTCTAGATCCTTCCAAGGGTTGCGCTCCATCCTTTTTAGTGGTCCAAATGGTTTGAATAAGAGCTGCATTACCATTGAAAATTGGTGCATAAGGAAAAAAAGTAAGGCTTCATAGACACGGTTTGATTATATTTTCAACCGTCTTTAATAGAGTGATTGCGATGTAATTAATAATGTGTATAATGGTGCGGAATC